CGCTCCGGCATGAACTCATTAGGCTCCGCCCAGATGGATTCATCGTGAGTTATCGCCCACATGTTCACCATCGCGGTGGTGCCGGCGGGGATGAAGTGATCCCCGACGTGGACATCGTGTACCGCAAGGCGAGCCCAGGAGAGGAGCGGACCAGGTGGGTGCAGCCTGAGAGATTCTTTCACGATGGCGTGGAGGTACGGAAGGCTCGCGACATCAGCATCACAAACAGAACGGGATACTCCCACGATTTCATCGATTTCGGATTGCGCTTTGGATTGGATGTCTGGGTGCAGAACCATTCTGGCCATTATCCACTCCAAGAGGATGGCTACTGTGTCAGTTCCTCTAAAGATCATTTCCTGCAAGGAGTAAAAGTCGGAAGGGTTCATGGAAAGCAGTGATTGCTACAGTCCAAGAAAACCTCGACTATCGCTTAGACAGCAGGGAGCAGACAAGATTCTGAGTGCCGTTCTTAGAATTGTGCCACAGAAACTATTCTAACGCATTCATTTATGAATCCTTGCAGTGCAATAACTATTTCTCTTAGAATAGCAAAAGGAACAGAACGAGGGAAAAAAGCAGTCACGGAGATCAGATATGACAACCAAGCAAACACAAAGCATAGTGCAGTAGTAAAGGTTGTTACCCAGAGAACAGCAACCATGTCGGCGTCAGAAAGCTTCTCCTCCTCTTCCATGCCAAGGAGGACATCCACAAAGTCACCCTCACCATCCACCACATCACCACAAACTCTCCTCTTCCTGTGCTCTTCCATGATGCTCCCGACGAAGGCGTTTACCCTCTTCACTAAAGCCCTGCACCTCTTCCTCACCCCTTGCAAGTCCAACCACCCTAACAAAGGAAAGTGATCAGCCCAATTGAAGACGCCGAGCAGCTCGTACCCTTCCTTGACCAGGGACTCCAACTCCAACCCCTCACCCTTGGAGTAATCAAATCTTTTCCCGAAAACGCTGATCATGACGTTGTTCAGAGACGCAAAGTGCAGGACTTTCTTCATCTCCACCACGCCATTCATGGCCATATGGTCCTGGACGTCCGCCAGCATTTGCTGGCCGATGTCCCTCCGTCGCTCGCCAAACGCGGCGATACGGCGAGGGCTAAACAAGTAGGTGGCGGAGATCCTCCTCAGATTCCTCCAGTAATCGCCGAACGGAGCGAACCCCATGGCGCGATGGAAGAGGAGCCCGTAGGCGGACTCTTTGATCGGGCGGTCGGCGAAGGCCGAGCTGTTGAGGATCTCCTTCGCCGTCTCGGGACGGCTCGCCACGACGAACCGGGTGAATCCCACCGAGAAGGCCATCAAGTCCAAGGCTTCTAGCGTGTCAGCAAGCCTCTTGAGCACCCGGTGGGAAGCGGTGCCAGCGAGAGCGAGGACGAAACCGGAGGGGCCGCGGATGGTGCATGAATGAGCCCTGGAGAGGGCCCACGCAAGCCCGCCGGGGCAGAACCATAGGAGGGAGAAGGCAATGAGGGCCACGGCGAGGATCGGGGAAAACGCGGTTTTAGGGAGAAAAAGGAGGAGGGAGGAAGCGTCCACCCAGGGCGACGACATCGGCAGCGTCAAGAAGCGGTCTTGATGGCAGATTCAGGGGCGAGGAGGCGAAAAGGTGCGATCTTTGGAGGAAGGATGGAAGATGAGATGAAGGGAGGAAGGTTTTCTGAGGGTTTAGGAAGAGCGAAGGAGACAGGGCGAGGGATGAATGGCATGAGAGCGGGGGCGGTTAAATAGTCATGAGGTCTGTGGAGATTTTTCTTTATTTAAAAATAAATAAATGCACAAATCCTTAGAAATATATATGTAAGATTATTTTTAATCTTATATTGATCTCATTAATATCATTATTATTTTTAAAAGGTATATGAAAAGGCGGATTCCTGAAGCGTCCGCTCACTTTTATGGGACACAAAACTGACGTGAGTCGCATATGATTAATATGCAAACGCTCAAGCAGACGTTGGATGAGCCACATGGCAACTGTCCTGAGGGGCGGGGGGGCGCGACGTGGCGCAACAGGGGAGGCTTCGGAGGAGTCGGCACGTGCAGAGCAGCTGCGCGCGATCCGGGGTCGCGGGGCCCGAGGACGGGCAGGCGGCGGTCGGCGGCGCCGCCTGTCAGTCCACTGTTCACGCGGCCCTAGGCGGCGGCGGCATCCCCGCTCGTAACGGTGCCATCGCAACGGACGGCTTGGGTCCCACAGGTGCTATCGGATCGCGCGGCTGGCATCCACCGCCTCGGTGGGCCCACCCTGCTCCCTTGAGGCAGTCGCCGCAAAGTTCTACGTCACTCACGCCGCCGTTACAACACGCCGTGGCCTCCGCCGCCGCCGCGTCACGTTCTTTCGTTTTCCTTGTGTATATACGTATCACGCGTCTCGTCTGAGCCACCATTCACACGATTAAATTGGTATTCTGACGTCATCACCCGCGGGGTTCGGTGACGGAAACCAACGAGATGGCTATACTTCCTGAACGATGCCGTGGTCCAGACACCGCGGCCGGCTATCGGAAAAGATCTCAGCCGTCCAACCCAAAGCAATGTTAGTTGAAGCAGCATAGAATCCGACCCACTCGTCTACTGAAAGCCAGTAAAAGACAAGTCGGTGGGTCCGCTGCCGGGGCCAGTGTTTGGTGGCCAATCACTTGTAAGGTTGTTGGAACCAATAAACGATTAAAGTGATAAAAAAAAAAGTCTGGTGACATAATATTGCACCAAAATAGGACGTACAGAAATAAGAGGAAGAATAATTGTGAAGTTTCAGACAGCAAGTGCAGAATGATTTAAATCATTATCTTTTCCTCATGAGAAATAATCATAAAGTG